TTTGGTAATCTCTGTGCGCAACAAAAAAGCTCGATTATTTTTCAATGCAGCGTGTTATATAACACAGAGTTTGACTTTCTTTGATTGTTCATTCATCTACGTCCCAGAAAAAATGTCTTCAAATACCTTGCATTTTTTTGTCCTTTAAAGGAAACATAGTTTGGACATGCGCTGTTGGGCCAGTTATGTCTCCCTCTGTAGCATATATTTCATTTGCCAAAAAAGTAGCCATAGATTTCTGCTAATTTTTTTCTCAGTTATTGAGGGTATTATTCTCATTAAAAATTAAGAAATAAAAAGTGGGGGCCACCGTACGCGTTTAAAAGTAAAGGAGCATTTATTTCGCTATCGAGCTTAGTTTGAGGGAAATCTCCTACGTTTTGTACGCGCACGCGCTCATGTGCGCGCGCTAATGACGCGAAAATCGTGCGCGGTAGGGATGCGCGATGCAATACTAAGGAATCACTTTACGTAGTTGTAGTTCTTCACTTCTTCTAGAATTTCTGCATTTTAGCGAGATAAACGGAGTGAAAAAGTTCATTTAAGGATCTCTTTAACTTCTTCTTTAAGACAGATACTAGTGCTGCGTGACACGTAGCCACTGTTTACTTCGCATGACAAAAACCCAGCTGGTGTAATTCGCAGTCGTACTCTCCAAATTTAATTTCTTCTAACTGAACACTCCTTGTAGCTCATTTCAATTTTGGACGATAATGGTCCGACCTAGAAGAATTTTATTTGCGGAAGCGTAGTTTTGCATTCTCGTACATAGGTGGAAACTGAATAGAACCAGATTTTAATTCAACAACTCCTTAAATGAATGATCATAAATTGGTATTTTTATTGATAAAAACTTTAGCTTTAGCTGGTATTATGGTATTTTGACACGAATGGTATTGATGTGATTGTTACTGACGATTCCTGCTGGCGCTACGATCTCTATACAAGTATCTTCTAACGCCAGGATATAATTTAGGCCGGGTGACTATTTTTTAAATTTTTTTACTATTATTACAGAAGAAGGAAGAAAACTATTTTCCCTTGCATTTTAGCTGAAAACAAAACCATGTTCTAAATTAGCTCTACTTTAAGTGATATGTCACACATGGCAATATGTTTTCCCAATTGCGTCTTCTAATAACGCCGCCAATCTAAAACGTACGGGGGTGTAGGTTTCAATTCCATTTTTACTACTGGGAGCTAAAGGTTCAAAACTATGGTTAAAGTAAAGAGTATTCTGTACCAAAGGATTTAATAATTCGTATAGCTTTCGTAAATTAAGGTAATTTCTGAGTTGCGTCTTTGCTTGGGGCAGAACGTTACTTCATTTATATCTGGACTTGATTCACACTTTCATTCACATGAAAATCGATCCAACTTATTTTCAGTATAAAAGTTTTGCAGCTGTCTATTCTCGTTTTGAAAGGGAATTAAAAGCCTACGGCGTCCGAAATTACCTTTCGGCCAGGGAAAAATGCTTGGAGCAATTTATTTCAGACTAATGGGTTGTACTTCTAACCGACAAATTTTCAAGAAAGTCAGCAGGTAAATGAGTCGAATGTTTATACCCCCGTATTATATCATTCAGAAGGTGACCTATTTGATAAAAAGCTTGGAGTTGTAAAAACTCTGGTTTCTTACAACTCTTTTTCTACATTAACCATTTGATGCAAAACATTCACATTGTAAATATAATATCAATGAAATAACAGGTTGTGTGAAAGGTTTATTGTCTCTATAATTAATATTGTACCCGCTGAGACATCTGCAATGATGCACTGTGGGGAAGTCGAAACTTCCAAGTTTCAAGGAAACCACCGATGACACGTTTTCAATGGAAACTTTGAACAATATTTGTGTTTAAGATAATTGGATTCGGGTTACGCGTCTGACTGAGGTGAACACACTAGAGCGGCATTTGTTAACACAGATGTGTTTTCAAATTTAATTTACGTCGTTTTCATAGACTTCTCGTTCTAACAAAGAGTTCACATCAGACCCATCGTGACTCAACGCGACTTATTTACTGCCAGGTAAATAATGAAAATGGAAAGATTCTCAGTTGCATTGAGGCATTTCGTCTCCATCTTGACATTTAACGTACATGTTATTTTGATGAAGTAGTACCTGTCAGGCACCCAACGCCCTTAATGACATAACTTGTAACAAAATCCCACGTGAAGGACTCGCGGTTATAAGGGA